CATTGTTATAGCCCCCAGTGGCAGGGATTAGTTTAGATAGCTTACAGTCCTTTTTCCTCTGTAGAGAAGTGAAGTGTGCATTGTAAATGGCTTGTCTCTATTTTGTAAAGTCCAGCCACGTTGAAGTTTGTGTAGAGGCTGGTATTGTATGAGAGTCTCAGTTCTGAGAGCTCATTCTTGATCTTCTCCTGTCTGCTGTACAGGATGCTGATCAGGTGGTTCCTCAGTTTCTTTGAGAGTGTGTGGCACAGTCTCTCACCATACTTGCATAGATTTCCCACTTGACATCCAACATTGGTAAATCAGATATTTCCATAGAGTAATATGGCTAATATGTATGCACCACTGCCCTCTATTGGATACAATCACACTGCTCGTTTGCGCATCAGAGACGTATTTCTAATAGCTAAAGGAGATTATCCTTTACTCAACTGGTAGAGATCTCTGGTTTTCCCATCTCCTAGAACTGGAAGGGACCTTGAAAGGTCATCGAGTCCAGCCCCCTGCCTTCACTAGCAGGACCAAGTACTGATTTTGCCCCAGATCCCCAAGTGGCCCCCTCAAGGATTGAACTCACAACCCTGGGTTTAGCAGGCCAATGCTCAAACCACTGAGCTATCCCTTGGAGCCAGGAGTATTGGGGATCTATTCTACCTGCATCCATGAAGTTCCAAATAGCTGTTCTTTGCAGTGTGGTGACAACCATGAAATTCCTAGCTGGCCACAGATTTGTTACAGTGTATTCACTAAATAAGAGTGCAAGATTACAAAAAAGCCTCTTAGCAGAGAGCATTTTGTTGAACTATAAATCATATTGCAGTTTCCTGTAAGAAATCAATTCAGAACTGAACATCACAGTTCAATATGTATCTTTTAAAGATGAATTTGCCCAAACCACTGTCAAGGAAAATCTCCTGACGAAGAAGGAGCTGGAAGAGGAGCGATCTCGTTATCAGAACCTGGTAAAGGAGTATTCAAGGCTGGAGCAGAGATATGACAATTTGAGGGATGAGATGACTATTATAAAGGTAATGGAAGAGGCTTTTTACATTACCCCTCCCCTCTGATGTCCTGTGTGTATTATTGGTAACTGGATAATGCAACTGAGTTCATTTGATGACAACAATGCTATTCTAGAACTCATTCGTGTTGATATTTCTGAGGGGGAAGTTATGCATTGATATTAGACCAAGAGCAACTTCTTCTGGAAATACATGGTTTTCTGTAGCCACTTGGTCACGCATTTACAGATTCCTTATGAACAGCAAGGCAAAAATCTGTTTATCTTTTCTCTATTTCAGTATCACAGATATACTCTGTTTTTCAATTCTAAGAAAATCATTGTGGCGTTATAAATATAAAAGTCTAAGTTTTAGATTCAGCCTTGCTAGAGTTTTAGCAATAGCCTCATTGATAATTAGTTATTAAGGGATGCTGTCATCCAGTTCAAAGGCTGAACATTTTAAAAGAAAACCATAAGGATATTGTGATAAATATTAGGCTCCAAACCCAGATGTGTGTGTCCAAACTTCACAAATTGCGGGTAGCCAGGCTTGGATGTGTTAAAGTAGCTTCCAAGAATACATGAGAAAATTGGTGTCTGGTGCATAGACACTTTTTAAGTTGTTGTTTGTGGTTGTTTATTTATATATATGTGAATGGAGTTGGGTGTGTTTATTGTTTTAAACTACATTTTGATTAAATGTCCCCCTGTCGTAATGTGCACCAGTGCACAAGAACCAGAAAACGAAGCCCAAAAGCAAGCAAATGATCGACCCTCTTATGACAGTCATCTTAATATCGAAAAATATTTTTTAAACTAAACCGCTTTATGAGGAATCCTCCTTTTGACCAGCAGATATATTGTGTCTGCATTGTCTTGTCCAGCTACTTAAACTGTAAGAACTTTGGATAAGGAGCTGTCTCTCCCTCTATGTTTTGTAAAGTCCTGAACACAGTACTTTGACTTGATGAATAATATGGACCCGTTATTTTAAGTAGAAAGTGCCATAAGTGTACATGATTATTTATAAAACACCTAATAGAGAAGGTCCCTGTCCCAAAAACTTAGTTTACATAATCCTTAATACAGTGTCTTTTCTACTAAATCACTCTATTATCTCTCTTTTTTTTAACAGCAGAC